CGGGTCGAACCTCCTCGGACACCAGCGTCTGATGTCCATGCAGGTCCTTCTTTGGCCCCTAAATGTGGGATGATCATTCGATCACGTCCTCAGTCATTGGATTCTTACTCTGACAGAGATCTGCTCACTCGATCAAGGGCAAGATCCATGGGGGTCGATTGACCTCCATCTAGTAAAGAAAAACGGCGTGGTCGTAAACCGAAGGGTTCTCCACCCTGTTCTCCTAAACCTACATAAAAATGGCCACTTTGATACAGTGGAACTGTCAAGGTTTTCGTTCTAATCTCGATGACATTAAGGCCTTGATTGACTCCTATCATCCCGTGTGTCTCTCCTTACAGGAAACATTTCTAAAACCTGCTGATACAATCACCTTTCGGCAGTTTTCTTTGTATCGGAATGACAGGTTGTGTGATGGGCGGGTACACAGAGGGGTGGCACTGCTGGTCGAACAGCATGAGCCCTGCTTATCTGTGTCCCTCAATACACCCTTGGAGGCCGTAGCCATCCGCATTTCCTTGGGTTGTACCACCACTGTTTGTTCTCTCTACCTGTCTCATGGGGAGACTTATGAACAATCGGACCTTGATGCTCTCGTTGACCAGTTGCCATCTCCCTTTTTATTTCTGGGAGACTTTAATGGACACAACCCCCTCTGGGGTGGTGCTGATGTTGATGGGAGGGGTTGTTCCGTAAAGCGTATGCTCTCGGATCACAACCTTTCTCTCTTCAATACTAGAACATATACTTATTTTCATGCACCTAGTCAATCTTTTACTGCCATTGATCTCTTGATTTGCCCCCTTCACTTTTCACTCATTTTTCTTGGATGGTCAACAGTGATCATTTTCCTATCATTATGAGGGAGGTTGGCCATGATTGATGCCACCCGACCCGAGTGCCACAGTGGAAGCTGGACCAGGCTGACTGGCCATCTTTCACCTCTCTCTCTCTCTCTGAACTTGAGCCTGCCTTCGTCTGTCTGCCATCAACAGATGACTGTGTGGTTGCAGTGACTGACTGTATTGTCCAGGCCGCTGCTCATTTTATCCCTAAGATCTTGACACGTTTTCCACGGTATCCTCGTCCATGGTGGAGTCCTGCCTGCCAGGAGGCACGGAAGGCTCAAAAACGGGCCTGGGTACCTTCCGACGATATCTGATGATGTTCATTATGAGATGTTGCACCATCTCTCTCCTGCCACTCTTGCTATTCTTCTGGTTATTTTTAACCGGATCTGGCAGGAGCATGTTTTTCCTGATGCTTGGC